CTACTACTACTACTACACTACTACTACGACGACGACGACTGCTAGTACTACGACTAGCTATTACTGCTATTGCTGCATTTTGTCACTACTACCACTGCTGCTGCTACTACTGCTACTGCTGCTACTACTGCTACTGCTGCTACTACTACTACTACTACTACGACTACTACTACTACTACTAGTAGGGTTTGCGACACACAGGCGCTTCTTGGACCTGGGCTGTGCCCCGGGTGGCTTCAGCGGCTGCTTGCTTCAGGAGGGATCTTGCGAGGGAGGCGCTTGGGACCTCTTGAGGTGTGGATTTGGCTTGCCAGTGCGGCTTGCGCTAGAATTTTCCGTTGTGCTGCAAGCATAGAGCACGGTTGAGAAGTGCGAGGACCACATATTGGGCCCCATGAGTGTGGGTTATGGCGCCCGGGCCCACGTCAACCGCAGACAGTTGCCAGAGTGTGCTTGCCAGAGGGGGCTATCTTAGCGTGTGCCCAGTGGTTGTCTGTTTGGAGCCGCCTGGCATCAAGTTCACCAGCATGGAAGCTGTGGTTGGTTCTGTAGGCACCGAGGCAACGATGAGCTTTCGTCTTCGGTATCATCAGTGCACTTTGAGGTCTCTTTGCCGCCCCAGCTGGGCGGCTTCCAGATGGTCATTAACACTCAGCGGCTCTGCGTGCAGCAGCCTGGTGTGCAACGAGCAGGGAGTCGAAGCCCTATCCCTGAGCCCCTGAGGTTTAACGGAAATCGGATCCTTAGATTCAGGACCCGAGAGTGTTTCGGACGTGTCTTTTTCTTGGCTCCTACTGCTTGGGGCTTCTGTTAGGGTCCCGGCCCCCTGAACCCTAGACCCTAAACCCTAAACCCTAGACCCATTCTCTGAAACTTCGGTGGATGGCCTGCTCCATAGTCTGGTCACGCCTTGCGAGGCTAAAAATCCAAATCCTCAGACCCCACAATATTCCACAACACATTGTGGTATGCAGCAATAGTCCATAACATACAATAACATATTAGCATGTGTTCTAATATGCTATAATATACCCTTCTGATTCACTAATGCGCCAAAATATATGCTGTCACATGTTAAAACCGAAAACAATATACGCTAAGATTCTATAATATTCTGCAACAGTCTTAAAACGGCCCGGGATTGTTATACACTAGTATATACTTTATGGTGATGTATTCCAGCATACAATAATAATAATAATAATAATAATAATAATCAAAATAATAATAATAACAATAATAATAATGATAATAAATAAACAAATAAATAGGTAAATAGATAGATAGATAAATAAATATATATATATATATATATATACATATATGTATTTTTTTGGTTTCGTCAAGTCCAGGATCTGGATTTCGGCTTTCGCAGCGGGCTCTACTTCCACGTATCGGGATGTAGGGTTTGGGCTTTAATGGTTGAGGGTTTGGGGGTTCAGGGTTTGGGGTGGAGGGTTTAGGGACGAAAGCCCTTCGGGGCAGGTGGATTCAAGTCTCAGGAGGTTGAAAGGCTGTGCAGGCAGCTACCTCGAGAACGGGGTCGATCTTGACTTCCCAAGATCCCCAACGCTACACCCTATGCCCCAGCCCCTCATCTACTTTGATATTCCCTAATCTACTTTAGTGTTCTATATTAAATTACAATATATGATTATTATCTACTATACTATGCTGTGTTATTCCATACTAGCCTATACTGTGCTTTACTGTACCATACTATACCATACTTTTCCATACTAGACGATACTATACCATACTATACCGTACTATACCGTACTATACTATACCATACTATACCATACCATACCGTACTACACCGTACTATACCATACCATACTATACTTTACTATGCTATGCTATACTACACTATGCTATACAATACTATACGATAAGATACTATGTTATACTACACTATACTATACGATACTATACTATACTATACGATAAGATACTATGTTATACTAGACTACTAGACTATACTATACGATACTATACTATACTTTAATATACGATCAGATACTATGTTATACTATATTTTAACTTTTCTTCGTCAACCTGAGGTTTGAAGATCTCCTACAAGTTGAGGCGTGCGAGCTGGCGCGGCCCACAGCCATCGCTCCTCTGGGGGCTCCCCAGAGAGCCCATTGGGTTCAGGGTTTAGGGTTTAGGGTTCAGGGTTTAGGGTTTAGGGTTTAGGGTTTGGGGTTTAGGGATACTCCCAGGGCTTATCAGGGTTTAAGGCTGAGGGAATTAGGAGTTTAGGGTTTAGGGCCTATCCGGGAGGGTTCAGGGCTTTGGGGTTTGGGGTTTTAGGGTTGAGGGTTTAAAGTTTAGGGTGTTTAGGGTCTCAAAAAGCTCGGAGTGCTTGGTTGAGGGCTCACGGGTTTTTGGAAGATTGAGCCTTCGGTGACAAAGGAGGAGTCATCGGGTGTGAGGCATTGCGGACCCGAACTGAGCAGGTCCTGACGGCTTTGCTTTCCTTGAGGGTCGTCCTGGGCGTCTTTGTAGGCGGCAGGTACGGATCAGATTGCAGCTCACTGAGCTTCAATACATGTTGTCATAACATCTAAAAAGCCATCCAGCTTCGTGCAACTGGTGGCTGTGTGTCCACGTTTCTGAACTCGCTCGTAGCCGAATCGCAAAGCCGTAGCCCGGCACGGAACCCTCGAACTGCGACACCCCAAGCAATGTACTGCCGCACCCCAGCTTTGCATGGACAACTCCATCGACATCTGCGTGGCGGATGCCCAGTGCTCCTGGATAGTTGGGTGAGCGTTGGTCTGGAAGCTTTTTTTGTTGTTTTGCAGCGGCGGCGGCGGCGGTGGTGGTGGTGGTGCTCGTGCCGGTGAAAGCTTATACTAATACTACATACTTATGACTTGCTGCCTACAGGTGTCCACGTGCTGCGTAGCTGCATACTACGTATGTTCAAAACTTGAATCATCCTACTCGGTCTTGTTTTCCTTTCCCGTTATTTCTTGCTACCTACTCTTGCCACCCACTGATAACTGCGGCTCAGTCCGTGACTGATGAATGACCACAGACCAGTCGATGCTGACTCCTACTTGTTTCATTGTGAATCTGGCTAAACCTTGCATTCCAGGCGAAAAACGGGGGTTCCGGAAAATAGAAGCTCCTGCTCCCAAGCCCCGCTTCAGTGCCATAGGTTTGCGGTACACACAGCCTTCGTCAAGATACTAAGCAGACTTCGACTTCCTTGACCGCCGTCCTGCCGTCGAAATGAACAAGCGTCGTTGGGGATGTGACATCTTGTGAGCCTTCAATTGAGCACCTTGACCCGGCAGTAGGTTCATCCTTGACCGCTAGGGCTGCCCAATGACTTAGCAAGCTCTAATTTCAGCCGTGACAAGCACCAGAAGCTCGGGAAGGTACTTGTCCAACATGTTCAAGCCACAGCACCAAGCTGCCAAGGTCTGCCTCGGGTCTCAGGGATACCACAAACTAGCCAATACTAACAAACATGGTAACGTGGCTGCCTATCATGATGCTGGAGGCCGTCGTAAAACACGCGATGGTCATGATGCCGGCATGCAAAAGGATTGTGGCCACCGTCGTCGTCATCATCATCATCATCATCACCACCATCCGGATTCCCATCGCCATCACCATCACTATCACTATCACCCTCACCGTCACCATCGTCCTCCTCCTCCTTCTCCTCATATCACCATCGTCATCACCGCCATTAGCACCGCCATCATCACCGTCATCATCACAGCCATCACCACAGCCATCATTATCACCATCACCATCACAATCACCATCACCATCACCAGCACCAGCACCAGCACCAGCACCGGCACCAGCACCAGCACCAGCACCAGCACCAGCACGAGCACCATCACCATCACCATCACCATCGTCATCGTCATAACCATCACCATCTGCCGT